TATGGAGTAAATGCTCCGGAGGAGGAGGAGGTGTCGGAGGCGGCATCGGCAACCGTCAACGCTAAGTTCATTGACACCATGAATCCACGTTACCCTTTGTATGCTAGTCTTCTGCATGGCATGCATGCATGCCCATTGTATAATACCAACCGTATAATTAACAACACAATAAAATTACATCTATACCCCTTACATCCCTTATACATTGAGAGTAATCGTTATACTATAGATTGACATGGATTATTATTATTATTATTATTATTATTATTATTATATAAAACATAGGATATAATATACATGCTTGCATATCGTTATATATGCAAATTTATATCTCGAGACCAATTAAGAATAATCTGAGGAACGTGAAGAACCCTAACTCATATGTCTTGATGCGCAAGAAAATGGGCTTCATTTCCTCAGCGTTCTGCCATTGCTCCTTCACGAATCTGCAAAATGTGATGCACGAATACAGTTATACATTTCACTTAAAAAAGGTTTTATTTGGATTACTATAATTATTTCATAATCGGTCCATATGTTTGTAGTTGCACGTGTTTTAATTCTTCAAACATATAATTACGTTTGGGTGCGTTCATGTAACAAAAACTATGCAAATATATATGCACACACACACACACACATATAAGATGAGATGAGTGGTTAATAAAATGATTTTATTGTACAAAGTTTTATGGAACCTTAATTAGTTTGAAATTTGAAACCGGTATCACATTCCAGAGACATCCTAGTAGCCCACCCCCCACAGCCAACCACCAATTAATTATTTTTTAAATCTTTTAAATGCCCCTAAACCAATACGATATCATTAAAATGTTGAATATCTCAATCATATTTTTTTTTTATTCCGCGACATTAAAAGTGTACCTGATATACACAAACACACATGATACACAAATTAGTTGATTTTATGAATTGATGATTAGGGAAAAAAAACCAACGGATTTTTGTTAATTGTACTTTCACATGAATTCAAAGTCACTGATTTGTATATAAAAGTAAGCGATGTTTAGCTTCTTTAACTCCATTGTTTTCCGATATGCAATTTTTTGTGCTTTTAACATTGATTGTGTACGGTTCTTAAATTGAATAACCATTATCTACCAACTGGATTCTGTGACAAGTATAGCCAAATATTTAAATTAATCTGATAGAAACCACAATCAGAATTTAACGATGTCGGCAAAACAAAATTATAAAAAATATATGCAAGAATTATTTGTATAAAAATTTGCGGAATGACTTGATCTTTTATTAATAATCAAATTAACTATAAATACATGAGAATCTCAAATTAAATAAGTAAATTAGAGAATATATCAAATATTTATAAATCTCTCTAAATCTCTATTTTCCAGATTTTATAAAATCTTTATTATATGATATATCTTATAATATTCTTCATATATTTCAACATCCTCTTCAAGTTGGAGCGTGAAAGATCACGAAACGCCAAACTTATTGAAAACATGATCAAACGCATATGTCGCTTGAACCACATCACCTTGCGAATTTGTGTTGATAAAAGATATAACTGGAAAAAAAAAATTAAATAAACCATTGCGCTGCAACTTTGGCACCACACACAAAAAAATCGTTCGATGATAACAGAAAAGGACAACAATCGCAGTATGAAAAAGGAGTCTCGAGAATAACTCTATTTCATCCGAAATTGAAAGGTAACTATACGAAAGCGTTTAGTGACAACAAATTTTTTTTGCAAGAATAAGATGATTGAAGGTTATGCGAATAATCTTTAGACACATGTAAAATTATGAGAGAAAATAAATAAATAGCAAACAAAATAACTCTCTTATTCTTTAAAAAAAACTTGAAATGATATTACCACTGAATCGGTATATCATCGTCATCTTCATCTTTACTCTCATTGTCAACCACCATTGTTTTATGAAAATATCAATAAACTAGAAAAAACCGGAAGTTCTAATACTCCATCCGTTTCAAAATATTTGTATTTTTAGGTTATTTTCCATGTTTCAAAATATTTGTTATTCTACATTTTCAAGATATTTTTTTTAAATAGTTTCCAATTTTATCCCTATTAAATTCAAATAAATTATTAATGATAACATTGTTTTTATCATTAAATAAGAGTATATGTGACTTTTTCTATCTTTTCTTAAAAAATGTGAAATAACCTAAAACCACAATTATTTTGAAACGGAGGAAGTACCATATAGAAATGTGCGGAATGATATGATCTTTTATTAATAATTAAATGAATTATAAATACATAAGAGTCTCAAATTAAATAAATAAATTAGAGAATATATAAAATATTTATAAATCTCCCTAAATCTCTATTTTTCATATTTGATAAGATCTTTATGATATATCTCATAATATTCTTTATATATCTTGATGGACCCATCCATACATGTTACATGGCGATCTTTTTCCGATCATTTTCACTTCAATTATGGTGACCTGATGGATAAGGCCACATAAGAGAGAAAACCCACTTGATGGAGTAAATGCTCATCATGTTGTGAGGCCCTATCTATATATATATATATATATATATATATATAGGTTTCTATTATTGTGTTGTGCGACAATTTTAGTACTTCGTAATATATAATAAATTTAAAACTAAAATGGATTTCCGATTTAATAACCAAGATTTTTTTTTATTAAGTGGGTGTTATGCACTGAAGTCCAGAATAATCTCGAGATCGGAAGCAAACCATGTGATTATAATATATACACTCTCACCCCAACTTGAGAATCGTATATTCTAATCACATGGTTTGCTTTCGACGCCGAGATTATTCTGGATTTCAACTCATAACACCCGTATAATAAAAAAAATATTGGTTATTAAATCGGAAATCCATTTTAGTTTTAAATTTATTATATATTACGAACAGTTAAAAAATATCGCACAACACAATGATAGACACCTGTACACCGGTTGAGTTAACCAAGTTAAAAAAAAATACCCGTTAAGATTTGTGGAATATTTTTTTTGCTATTATCTATTATAAGATGCATTCTAGTTTGCGTTGTACAAAAATATCATTTCGATTATAATTAAAAAACACAGCATATTTTACATTTGTGTATCCATCTATCTGATAATTCGATATTAAGAAGAGACGGATGCATATGGTGAGAATTGAGATATACCTTAAGTTTATTATTTTCTTCTCCACCCACTGATATGGGACATAATTTTTGACGATTTGTTGCGAAGCATGTGATACGGACATGATAAATAACATGAAATTGAATAAATTAAATTGAACAAAGAAAATTAAAGAAAGTGAGGAAACGTATATGCGTATACAATCTATATATATATATATATATATATATATAATATAACCATAGACATGAATGATAATGGGAAGTCATGAACGTACATGCATGCATGTATGATATCGATCTTACGCAGCACATGCATTAATTTCAACACAGTCATAGATTATATTAGAGAAAATCCCAAAACAATATTTAAACTTCTCAATTTTAAAAAATAAAGCATAAACTTTGTTTTTTAATAAAAAAAATTAGAACTCTATCTTTGTAATTTTTAAATTTATTACTAATGTGACGTTCCGATATTATGTAGATAATAATGTGTCAAATACGGTCAAAGTTTGATTTACCACGTAGGTTGTCGGAACACCACGTTAGCAATAGGTTTAAGATTATAAAGTTCGATTTTTTTTTGTTTAAAAAATGATGTTGAAATTTTATTTGATAAAAATAAAATTTAGATTTTATTGTGAAAAAATTGGTAAGTTCAAATTTTTTTTGGGAAAATGACATTTTCCTACACCAATTTAGTAAAATGTGACATTTTTCTATACGAATTTTTAATTTGACAAAAAACTACATTATATTATCAGATATCCCAAATCTATACACGAATTACCCAATTTTACTGCAATTTACTACACAATCCGAAACAGTGTTAAAATGTCCGTTAATTGATGACGTGGAAGGCCACGTGGCGTCTGACGTGGAAGGCCATGTGGAAAATTTTGTCACGTCAGCACGCCACGTCAGATTTTCAAAAAAAATTTAAAAATTTAAAAAAAAATTTAAAAATTTAAAAAAAAATTTAAAAATTTAAAAAAAAATTTAAAAATTTAAAAAAAAATTTAAAAATTTAAAAAAAAATTAAAAAAATTCAAAAAAATTAAAATCGAAAATAAAATAAAAATAAAAAATACATATATATACATACAAACATATATAAATACATATACACGTTAATTGATGACGTGGAAGGCCCCGTGGCGGCTGACGTGGAAGGCCATGTGGAAAATTTTGTCACGTCAGCACGCCACGTCAGATTTTCAAAAAAAATTTAAAAATTTAAAAAAAAATTTAAAAATTTAAAAAAAAATTAAAAAAATTCAAAAAAATTAAAATCGAAAATAAAATAAAAATAAAAAATACATATATATACATACAAACATATATAAATACATATACATATATACATGTATATATATATAAACATATGCAATACATATATATATATATATATATATATATTGTATATATACATATATATACATACATACATATATGTATGTATACATATAAAATATAAAAAAATACATGTACATACATATATCTATACGTGTATATGCATATATATTCATATCTATATACAAATACAAATATAAACATATATACTCCTATGTATTAATATATCTATATATACATACAAAATAAAAAATATACACATATATATACATGCATCTATACAAATATATATATACATGCGTACAAATATATTTATATATACATAAAATTTTAATTTGATATACAAGTATATATTTATATATACATAAAAAAATTACAAATACATATATATACATATATGTACATACAAATATATTTATATATACACAAATATATGTATGTATATATATTTATATAGATATATGTATATATATGTGTATATTTATTATTTTGTATGTATATATAGATATATTTATACATAAGAGTATATATATTTATATTTGTATTTGTATATAGATATGAATATATATGCATATACATATAGATGTATGTATATATGTATTTTTTTTTATTTTGTATGCATACATATATATATATATATATGTTTATATATATATACATGTATACATGTATATGTATTTATATATGTGTATGTGTGTATATATAAATATATTTGTATATATGTATATGTATATATGTATTTTTTTAATTTTTTAATTTTTTAATTTTTTTTTAAAATCTGACGTGGCAAAATTTTTATGTGATTACCCCTTATTATTTTGTATGTATATATAGATATATTTATACATAAGAGTATATATATTTATATTTGTATTTGTATATAGATATGAATATATATGCATATACACGTATAGATATATGTATGTACATGTATTTTTTTATATTTTATATGTATACATACATATATGTATGTATGTATATATATATATGTATACATGTATACATGTATATGTATTTATATATGTGTATGTGTGTATATATAAATATATTTGTATGTATGTATATGTATATATGTATTTTTTTTTTCTTTTTTAAATTTTTAATTTTTTTTTGAAAATCTGACGTGGCAAAATTTTTCACATGACCTTCCATGTCAGCCGCCACGTGGCCTTCAACGTCATCAATTAACGGACATTTTAACACCGTTTCGGATTGTGTAGTAAATTGCAGTAAAATTGGGTAATTCGTGTATAGATTTGGAATATTTGATAATATAGTGTAGGTTTTTGTCAAATTAAAAATTCGTGTAGAAAAAGATCAAATTTTACTAAATTGGTGTAGGAAAATGTCATTTTCCCATTTTTTTTATAAATATTCCCACTACATAATACAAGTTTGCATGCAGCATCCATGCCGGTTTGGGTCCATTTCCCTTTTTTGTCTCCTTTTTAACTATGGCAATGTGGAATTGATTTTTTTTTTCCAACCATGAAACACGGGCTCGTCGGTCTTTCGACCATAATTTTAATTTAAATATAATGATAATAATAATGATAATAATAATAATAATAATTAAGAAAAGCATTAAGGTATACATTGTGGTAGTGTGAGGTAATCATTGATTTATTTTCCTAACGAGTTGGGTTATATATATTGTTTCTTTTGTTGAAATATGTGGAAAATTTGCCGTATATATTTTAATTTAAAAATGGTAGCTAGATAATTTAATGTGTATGTGTATATATATATATTATACACCAAATTTGACCTGATATAAACACAGGTTTTATAAGTCTATGATGTTTTTTATTTTTGTTACGTCTCCAAAATCATAGATGCATCGTCCGTCCACATCCATCGCATTCGCACCCCCACACACAACCTGTAAACGTGGTCGGCGTCACTCGTCGCGATTTCATAAATGCGTTTTAAATGGCTTTCAATATCGTCCCCACATTTTTTATAGATTCTTAGTTTGGGTCCGCATTCTCGCAAATATTCACTATTGTTTCCCGTAAACATGAAATTGCAGATATGGCCCCCACCGTAAGAGACGATATGCTATACCTTCTCACCAAATCTTATAGATTTTGTCACCACATAAATTTCAAAGATTATTACTAAAATGGGCAAGACGAAAACTCGATTAGTGTGCTATTTACCATATAAAACGTCCATTCTTCTTATATGCACATATATATTTATATATATGGTTCTAGAATACTTAATTCATGAATATTTCAAGTTGGGTTAATTCACTTGCTATAAAGATTTCCTAATGGTAAAAGTATATGCTTAATTTAAGCAATACGATAGGGAAAATACACTATATTTTTTATTAAATACGAACAAGTATGAGCTATAACCCATAATGGGTGGTAAGATGATAAGGTGAGAAGGGACAAAATCTCTTCATCCGAACTATATAAGCGTGACAATGTCCATTCGAAGAGTTTCAAGTCAACATTTTTTAAGGAATCCGTTGGCAGAGCTCTATTGTTTCAATATGAAATGGACAATTGACCAATATAAATATACATGCATATATATATATATACACACACATATATTAATTAGTGGAAAAAAGGCGAGAGATGTAATAATTAGAGGAAATTATAAACATGAAGTAAGCTGTACCTTTCATCTAACATTTATTAAGTACACAGCTTTGCACTTAACAACTCGTTTTAAATAACACGGCGTATATTTTTCCAATACACTATTTACAAGTGCACTTGATAATCTCATTTAATATGGATCACGCAGCTGTATGTGAACAAGCATTGCAAGCAACGGTCGATGGCATTCTTGCAAATCCCCTGCACGCACAAGGGTATTTCCGGTTTGCTTTTTGCTATATAAAGTGTCCACCTCCATGGTTCTATGCATGAGCTCTAGGAAAACATTCGAGAGAGAGAATAATAAAAAAATGTCTACTAAGACTTCCATTTTCCAAGCCCTTACCTTCTTGTTCTACCGGTTTGTTCTCCGGCGACATCGAAACCCTAAACCTAAATACCAAAAATACCCTTCCTTGCCCCGAGAGACCGACCTCTCGCGCCGCACAGTCGTCTTTAACGTCGAAGGAGCCTTGCTGAAATCGGAGTCTCTCTTCTCTTACTTCATGCTCGTGGCCTTCGAGGCCGGAGGGTTACTGAGGTCATTTCTCCTCCTCGTTCTCTACCCTTTCATCTGCATGATGAACGACGAAATGGGCACCAAGGTGATGGTGATGGTCAGCTTCTTCGGGCTCAAAGTCGAGAGCTTTATGGCCGGAAAGTCCGTACTTCCCAAATTCTTCCTGGAAGACGTGGGGTTCGATATGTTCGATGCGTTGAGGAGAGCGGAGAAGACGGTCGGAGTGAGTGATCTTCCACGAGTGATGATCGAAGGGTTCTTGAAAGATTACTTGGAGATCGATGTTGTGGTCGGGAGAGAGATGAGGGAGTTTCGTGGATACTTTGTCGGAATCATGGAGGAAAAAAAGAAATACGATGATATTGGATTGCTTCACCAAGAGAAGCTGAGTTATGGCAATATCGTCGGCGTCACTTCCTTCAACAAGCCTCTTCGCCATTATCTCTTCTCTCATTGTCGGGTGAGTTTTTTTTTTTTGTAGTTTTATGATGTGTTGTGTTTTTTTTTCTTGGTAGATTGTTTTCTGTATATACGCAAGATATCATAAATTAACCATAATAGTTAGTTGATCATGCTATAAGTGATATACGTTTAATTAGAAATAAACAAGATTAATAGATCGATATTGAATCTTGAATAAAAAAACACAAATAATTAATGTATATATGTATTATTTTGTCGGGACAACGATTCACTAATTTGACGGTCTTGCGCTACTGTCATGCTTCATTATTACAATATATTTGCATGTCAAAATCAGACTGAATTCTGTCTTACCGGTGTTGTGTTTCCAATGTTGAACAGGACATTTACTTCGTCAAGAATCACGACAAGAGAAGCTGGCAAACCCTACCACGAAACATGTACCCTAACCCACTAATCTTCCACGACGGTCGACTCGTTATGAAACCTACCCCTCTGAACACTCTGGCTCTGTTCATGTGGATCCCGTTTGCTGTCCCGGCCGCCATAGCCAGGCTCCTCGTGGCCGTCACCGTTCCGTTCTCCGTATCCATCCCCTTGCTCTCCTTCTCGGGCCTCCGTCTAACTGGCTCGACCAAAACCCTAACTGGCATGCAAGAAAACAACCGAAAAGGTTGTCTCTTTGTCTGTAACCACAGGACATTGCTAGATCCACTTTACGTTTCTTTCGCTCTGAAGAAGAAAAACATGGCCGCCGTCACGTACAGTCTGAGTAGGGTTTCCGAGATTTTGGCGCCGATCAGGACCGTACGCTTGACCCGCGACCGTGAACGGGACGGGGAGACAATGGACAAGTTGTTGAAGGAAGGAGATCTCGTGGTTTGTCCTGAAGGGACAACTTGCAGAGAGCCGTACTTGTTGAGGTTCAGTCCTTTGTTCTCAGAGATCAGTGACGTCATCATTCCGGTGGCCGTTGACACTCACGTGTCCTTTTTCTACGGTACAACTGCGAGCGGGATCAAGGCCTTTGACCCGTTTTTCTTCCTCATGGACCCTTCACCGTCCTACACCGTCCGATTGCTTGAACCACTTTCCGGGTCGTCCACGTGTCAAGATCGCGACGGGAGATCGACGTTCGAGGTGGCTAATCGTGTGCAGAGCGAGATCGGGAAGGCCTTGGGTTTCGAGTGCACCCACCTCACCAGAAGAGACAAGTACTTGATCTTGGCCGGTAACAATGGCATCGTTACAAAGAGTTAGAGGTTTTGTAATTAACCGGTAGGGTCTATATATATGTTACTTATTGGTTCAATTCATTAAATTTTGATGTGTTCATATATTACATTGAATTCTTTTAATATCGTATAGGCAAATGTAACAATTTGTTTTTTTAAATCTCGTGTGTGTGTGTATATATATATATCAATATATGTTATGTATCTGCGTTTTTTTAAGATTTTATTTTTTGTACCATAAATATTGATAAGTAAAGCATAGTACTTGTTATAGTGGATCCATAACATATAATAACAATGGTCAGCAAAATACAAAATGTGTACGACGGCGCCATTAATTATATGGAAACTTTCATATACGTTAATGTATTCATAATTAAACTAATTAAATTAAGTGCATAATAGTCATTAGCTTACGATGTACATAATTCCGATAATTAAGGGGAGTAATTGCGTGATTATAACTAATTTTCCCACCCAACCTGACTATCATTAATTGCAAACAGAAACCATATGACGTCATTTTTACAACATGATATATACTTCTTAATTTGCAAATTGATAATCATATTTTCAAAATTTCAACGTAAAAAGTAATTTTTCACAAGGGTAAATTCATTCAATTCTGAGAGATATGTATTCATCTCACTACGATCCACGTGGACAGCCGAATATAGCATTTGGGTTTTGGGCCCAAAACCCAAAACTCGGTCGACTGAGTCCAGATTAGGTTTCTCTCTCCCCCAGCTCCTTCTTCCTCGCCGCCGGTAGTGTTTCTCTCACTCTCGGCGTCTCGAACTCTCCGCCGCCGCCGCCGATCTAGGATGGTCCTTCCCTTCCGGTGAGTCTCCTCCTCTATTCCTTTTTTATATCGCTTTCTTCCTCGCGTTGCTGATGACCAGACACGGCAAGACCCGTGACCTTGTCTGAGCCCTGCCACGGCTTCTGATGTCGTTACTGTAAACTGGGGAAGTTTTGAATTGTCCAGGACTGTCAATCGATTGAATAACTGCTGCGTTGGTTAGCTGAGCAGGTTGAATATATGGAATTAGGGGTTGATCGTTTAGAATTCATGTTCGTCTGGTTACAAGGACACGGAGTACGGATTCTTATTGGGTTTTTGGAATTCTCTGAACCACCACTGACAGTGTTTATCTGTTTGGTCTGAAATCCTAGTGTCGAGCTATTTGGGTGCGTATCTGTGTGTGCATTTCCGTGGTGATTGCGTTGTGTCTTTTTCTTGAATTTTACTGTGTGATTGGTGCTCTAAGGTGCAAATTTTGTACCTTTTCTTGCGGTTGTATCGCATCATTTGCTATAGATACGTGTGATCTATGATCGGTGAGCTTAAGAAGAGTTTGTGTATGTGAGAATTTTCATTATGAAAATGTACATCTATCTGTGGTTACTAAGAGGTTTTCTTTGAAGGGACTAAATGTTTCTCACTTTTGCTGGCTTTGTGTCTGTTGAGCAGATAGTTTTCTGTGTGGTGTATTAGTTCAGTGAGTAGTTCTCTCCGGCCATGTCGTGGTCAAGGCCTTTGAGGCGGACCCTGCTGTTCTCCCATCTAGAGAACCTCCATCATACATCACATCCATCAAGGTACAAAAATGAGAAATCGTTAGCTTCTCCAGATAGTTACAATTTGTTAAAGAAGTCAGACTCTTTTTTTTGTATTGTTCTAAAGCTCTTTTTTACCAAATGGGTCTTTTTGAATCGAAGTTCTGAAAATAAAAAAAGGGTCGTTAAGATTAAGTTACTCACTTTGAAAATGACTACCGTTTCCCTTTGAATCCAGTCTGACACGGTCTCTGTTTGTTGTGGCATACGTCCCTCCCTACAAGCCATGAAATTAGAATTCTTGTAATGAAACAACACGGTCTACTTGATATATTAGGAATAGATTTGATGAACCTTTTTAAAACAGGAATCTTTCACAAAACTATCGACTTTGATCTCGTTGGTCATTTGTATTGCTTCGTAAGAAATTGGCCAGAGAAATCTATAAGGATCGAATTAACATTATTAGTACTGAGCCATTAAACTCAATATGGATTTATACGCTTACTGCACATTGTAAGATCCACAGAATTCTGCTAAATTGTTGAGATTTGTGAAATGCTGATGTAAAGTCTTGATGTAGGAGCGTGCATCGCGCTCTATGTACCAGTTATTGCACTCATGGAGCTGGTCGAGGGGATGAGCATAATTTCCGCAGAACGATATCGGGTTTGGCCACTAGGCATGGAATGCGCACAGGATTTTGGAGAAGCTCTTCTTTGTTGTGGCCCCCCAATACTGACACTGTGGGTAGATCTTTTTTACTTGGCATGCAGCGCCACTATGCTACTCAATCCCCAACAGAAACAAAATCACGCAAAATGCTCTATTACCTCACTGCTCTGGTCTTTGGTATGGTGGGCCTGACTTATGCTGCTGTACCGTTGTATAGAACATTCTGCCAAGCTACGGGATATGGGGGCACTGTTCAACGGAAAGAGGTATAGCTGGTTCAGTTCTTTATTTTTCTCTGGCACTAGTTCAGTTCTGTATTTCAACTGGTTGGATTTCGTTACACAGAGTGTTGAGGAGAAGATTGCTAGGCATGCAGACGCTGGTACTGTCACTCAAAGGTGTTGCTTCAGCTGTGCCCTATATATCAGTCTACATCCATTTCCTTTCTGTGTAAAATTGTTGCATGAAATTTTTTGTTTGTGTTGTGATGAACTCACTACCTTATCATAACAACTAATTGACACTTCTGTTCTCAGGGAGATAGTGGTGCAGTTCAATGCTGATGTTGCAGATGGAATGCCATGGAAATTTGTACCAACTCAAAGAGAGGTACTTAAATTTGAGCCCTAGCCGTTCTGAGAGATGTCCTCTGCTAATTTGTGTCTATCTCCTCTCTTTCTCCTAGGTGAGGGTGAAGCCGGGAGAAAGTGCACTAGCCTTTTACACAGCTGAAAACAGAAGTTCAGCTCCCATAACTGGAGTTTCCACATACAACGTCACTCCGATGAAGGTATAAGTTTCATTATCTTATGTGATCAGCTACAATGGTCCCAGAGAGAAGGTTGTCTTGTATTTCCGCGGTGCCCATTATAATGATTATCCTAGAGGAATCTTTGAAGTAGAATCTCCGAGCTCATGTCCATTTGTATGAATCCAGAGAGAAGGTTGTTTCTGAAATGTTTGTCTCTCCGCCCCTCTAATGGTTCGTGGGTTGTTTCAGGCAGGAGTTTATTTCAACAAGATACAATGCTTTTGCTTCGAGGAGCAGCGTCTTCTTCCTGGAGAACAGATAGACATGCCTGTAAGTTAGAAAGACTTGTTTCATTGCTCATGTAGTTGTGTCCTAAACTAAACAACTAAGAAGAACTCGAGCAAGCCTTTTTTAAATGGTTTTTTTTTTGTTCAGGTCTTCTTTTACATCGACCCAGAGTTTGAGACAGATCCCCGTATGGATGGAATCAACAACTTGATATTGTCGTATACTTTCTTCAAAGTGTCCGAGGAGAGTTCAGATACGGCGAAGAACAGTCCGGTTGCGGTCCAAGGAACCAATGAAAATTAGACCTTCTTGAAGACAAAACTGTATTCTTTGTCTCGTCACATGCCAGAATAACTGTTTAGTACTATTATCAATTTATTATACAAAAAGGCGTCGCCCTATGACTTCATTCGTATGAGCCTTGGGCCTAATACTTTACCCTAATAATCTTTGAGGTTCCAAGCACTGAAACGAATTCCATTTGCATCAATCTATAGTTATGCTAACTGTTGGAGAAAGAAAGTTCCGATTTTGATTTCTGGGTTTCTCGTATTTTTCCAAACTTCGTCGGAGATTCCGAATTGTCCGACGAGCCCAGATGTTTTGTGGAAATCCGACGGAAAACTGTATTCTTGTCTCGTCACATGCCAGAATAATATTGAATACTATTATCAGTTTGTTATGTACGTAAAGGCTTCGGCCTATGACTTCATTGGCCCAATACTTTACCCTAATAATCTTTTTGCCGTTCCAAGCACTGAAACAAACTCACTTCATCAATCTCTAGTTGTTACAGTAACAGTTGGAGAAAGAAAGCTCCGATTTTGATTTATGGGTATCTCGTATTTTCCGAGTTTCCAACGAACCCAGTAGAGATTTTGAGGAAACTGGCGAAAAATGATGATTCTCAAGCCATTTTCGTCTCGCCACGCTTCTCGGCTTTCCGATCTTCGGCACTCTGTTTGGTTTCTTCACAGTATGGCAGTATCTGCGGGTGCGAAATCTTCTGTAGAAGATGACGCAGAGGCCGTTTTCCGTATGATCAACAGCTCAAACTCGTCGACAGAGTTGAAGGAATCGTTGAACTCGAGTGAAATCTTCCTGTCGAATGATCTGATTGACAGGGTTCTGAAAAGGGTCAGGTTTAGCCACGGAAATCCTCTGCAAACCCTAGAGTTTTTCAGGTACGCGGGTGATAGAAGAGGGTTTTATCATTCGACTTTCTCGCTGGACACAGTGCTTTATATTCTGGGCAGGAGTCGTAAATTCGATCACGTTTGGGAAATTTTGTTCGAAATGAAACGAAAGGATCGATCTTTGATATCGCCGAGGACGGTGCAAGTGGTTTTAGGCAGAGTTGCCAAGGTGTGTTCTGTCAGAATGACCGTTGAATCTTTCTGGAAGTTCAAGAGATTGGTTCCTGAGTTTGACACTGCATGTTTCAACGCTCTGTTGAGAGCTTTGTGCCAAGAAAAGAGTATGGCAGATGCTAGAAACGTGTATCATAGCTTGAAGCATCGTTTCAAGCCAGATTTGCAGACTTTCAACATACTTTTATCGGGTTGGAAATCGTCTGAAGAAGCCGAGGCATTCTTTGCGGAAATGAAGGAAAAGGATGTAAAACCGGATGTTGTCACGTATAATTCTTTGATCGATGCATATTGCAAGGGTGAAGAGATTGAGAAGGCTTATAAACTGATAGATAAGATGCGTGAGGAGGATGTAACTCCAGATGTTATCACGTATACAAGTATTATAGGTGGATTAGGTTTAATTGGTCAGCCTGATAAAGCCAGGACGGTCTTGAAGGAAATGAAGGAATACGGCTGTTACCCAGATGTGGCAGCTTATAATGCCGCTATTAGGAATTACTGTATAGCAAAGAGGCTTGAGAATGCATACATGCTGATGGATGAGATGGTTAGGAAGGGTTTGTCTCCGAATGCAACTACCTATAATCTGTTTTTCCGGGTTTTCTATTGGGCGAACGACGTGAAAAGTTCGTGGGCTATGTACGAGAGGATGATGAGTAGCGGGTGTTTGCCCAATACCCAGTCCTGTATGTTCTTGATCAAGTTGTTCAAGAGGCATGAAAAGGCGGATTTGGCAATGAGGTTATGGAATGACATGGTGGAAAAGGGTTTCGGTTCGTATAGTTTGGTTTCAGATGTGCTGTTCGATTTGCTCTGCGATCTGGGTAAAATCGATGAAGCAGAGAAATGTTTCTTGGAGATGGTTGAGAAAGGGCATAGGCCGAGCAATGTCTCTTTCAAAAGGATCAAGGTGTTGATGGAACTAGCAAATAAGCAAGAGTCTCTTGACAAAGTGAAGCAGAAGATCTCTATTTTTGGTCATTCAGCTTAACTAAACATTGATGATTGATCTCGATTTCATGTCTCACGTAGAAAGTGGAAAAGTTTTGGCCCAAAGATTGTACTTTCTGCAGGGTCTGCTATTGGCATGAAATCGTTAATGTGTGTTTGTTACTCTCACAGGTGGTTCATCCATTAGAGAGTCTTGCCTGAAGTATTTGACAACTTAACTCTGCTAAGATCACTTCCCTTGAAAGAGAAGGAGATGGATTGTCATGTCGGAACAATGAACAAATGTGTCTGATTCCGCCTGGAGAAAGTGTCTCAGGCGCTGCAGCAACATTACATTTGATGATTTCTTCTAAATACTCTGAACAAAGGTATCTTCATCGCTACTTGTATGTATGTATGTATGTATGTATGTATCTTCATCAGACTGCACTATTGAAACAAATGAAACAACAAAGACATGATAAAAGAAGCCGCTTGAACCTCTGGTAATTGCTTCCACCTTGTAAGGTTTAGAGTCTGGAATGTAATCTACAAGCACAGAAACGATATGAACAGTAAACCAAAAAAGTCATAACTCATCGCCATTTCTTACCAGGAGAGCTTATATGGCTCTAACAGTACGGACGAAAGCAGTGTTTGTGGGCGATTTTAGCACTGAACTATCGGATGCAACTGAGAAAGTCTCGATTTTTGGATCAGAAAAAGACATGGAGGGGAGTTGTGGAGACGGGTTTCGCCATTGACGCCATGATTTCTGGCCTCAATCAAGAGAGAAGCACACTCAGCTTCCTCAACGGAAGAAGTAGAACTTGAAAGAAAGTGTACGGCGAGTCGGCTCGGTTAAGCGTCAGTACACAAGATCCGGTTTAATCCGGTTCACAAACGTCGGTTCAGTTCCAACATCGAAACCGGTTTGGCGGACGAGTTCTCTGTTTTGACCCGAAAGATCTTTTGTTCGCATGTCAAAAACGTTCTGAACATTTGGGGATCTCGTCATAAACACGATTTCTCGGTGGGAGAAGAGAAATGGATGAGCTTCGGGGGAGTGATGAATTCATATACAGAATCAGCACTGCCAAAGAATGGGAGGAATTTCAGAAGAACGGATCTTCTTTCGGTGGAGATCTCGACAAGTCGACTGGCTGCTTTCATCTCAGCAAACTCGATCAGGTCTCTCTCTCTCTCTCTCTACACAATTCTTTACCTTTTTAATAGCAGATCTCTAGGGAAAACCTCAGCGTTTCGTCTGGGTGTTAACGAAACGATGACAAAGCTCGAACTTGTATCCTTCCGTCAAGGAATTTGCTCGGATTCCAATCGATATTACTTGTCTTTTTTTTTCTGGGTTCATCTGAATACATGAAGGCAATCTCAAAGCTCGAGACTTCATGCCCATGGGCCATGGGAATTCGACATTATTGCTGCAGTATCGAAGATATTCGCTTTCTTGAATGATGCTGCAGGCAAATTATGATCAAAGATATTGATGCGGATTCACATTGGTTGAAACAAAATCTAACCCTTTATTTGTGTTTGGGACATAAGGTTAAAGTTGGAAGATTTTGTCATTTGAAACCATAATCCTATACCTTTGAAGGGTATTGCTCCAATCTCACTTATGATTAAATCTGCTTGCACATTTCCAGGTGCAATCAACATTGCAAAACTTCTTCTTGAATGCTAAGGAGGATCTCTACCTTCTTCAGGTCGACCCCAAGAAGGTTTGTATACTTTTTCGGGCTCCTCCTCCTCCTTGTTCCTTTTCCATATGAGAGTAGAGTGGATTAGACCTTATGATTCTCTCTGTCTGAAGCATACTTTTGAATCAAATGGAAGCTTTGACAAGGTTTCGGATGGTAGTTTGTAAATAATCTTTTCTCCAGTGAGGTGCCATTTAGGCCGGTTTGAAAACCAGTGGAATGAGTAGTATTCATCCTATACTGGAACTTGTTTGCTGCCTTCTTTCTTTCGCATTTCGGTACTGACATGTTCGTGTTCCTGTTCCTACAGCTTGGAGATGGATTGATCTACGAAATCGTGGATGGTGTCAATAGCTTCCCTCATTTCTACGGGCCAGATCGAAGCTTCAGTCCTCTTCCCCTGGATAAGGTTGTTAAAGCCGAAAAGCTGCAGTTTTCCAACGGCCAATTCTCGTGCAGCTTCTTAACCTAATCCCCGAGGTTTCGCTGTAAGATTCTCAAACAGTTGACATTATAACCAAAATAATCTGTATACACTCCATCAGTACACTGTGTGTGGATGAGATTGTGTTATTATATCTTATGGTTACATACATGATTCTTCATCAGCTAAACTGGGTAATTTACTGAATTTTGATTTCTGGTTTTTGGAAACCGATTTTCTGGTTTAGCCCGGTTAACAGCTGAGTACCAGATGCTGAAATCCTGTAATTTCTTTGATTTTGGGTGGTGAAGGGTTACATGGTTGCTGAATATTAGATATGAACGAAAACATGATCCGCTTTCACGGGATCATATGATATGATATGTCATTTATTATTACTAGACCCGCGTGGTCCACAGTGGTTTCGAATGTATTTTATTACGTGAGACAAACATGATTAGTAACATTAATTTTTCGTTAATCAAATGCATTTTATCCGTCATTTATGTATGGAAATTATGTGTAATTTCCATACTAAAAATGAAAGACAAATTAGCGTGACTGTGCTTTCTTGTGCAGAAATGTAGAATGCTAAACGACGTCGCTTGATTCATTACTGTTCTGTTTTCCAGGGCGATGCGGAAACGATGTCGTTCGATTGCCACGTCACGCTATGCCCTTCAACCAATCAGAGACGAGAATAATGCCAGCGAGGTGGAATTGAAAGAAACAGTAAAATTATGTACGGTAAACTGTGATTATTTACCATAATGCCACGCATCGCCTAAAAATAAGATCGTTTTTTTGACGATGATGCCTAGCTTTTCAGGGAGACGACAAAAAAAAATATTTTGAACGACGCTCGGATCTACTCTTCTGATCGGACGGCCATGAGGCATTTAAATAATGGGCCTTTTTTTGGGCCCATTAGATTACCCATATTGCTTCTCTTGCACTCTTGGCCCAATACGGCCTTTTTTTTTTTAGGGAGATTCATATATTAAATACTGAACTTTAACCAAATTTTCAAATTAAATACTTAACTATCTTACTTCCAAATTAAATACTCAACTATATTGAAATTCACAAATAAAAACTAAACTTTGCAAATTTTAACATATACCTAAAGGATAATCCAAAACAAAACCCTTTACTTTTTTTTCATCACAATTTAAACCCTATACTTTTTTTATCCAAAAAAACCCTAAACTTTTCAAAATTTTAAAAATGATACACATTAATATACATATATTAATTATTATAAGCACAAAATCAATTACACATTTATTTTCCACAAAATTAATTGTACATTTATTTTCCAAAAAATTAATTACACATTTATTTTCCACAAAATTAATTGTACATTTATTTT